CAGAAAAGCCAGAAAGAAGGCAGATTAGCACTGTTTTTAATAATCTGGCAAAATATCAAATCAACAGGCCTGTGGTCTTACAGAACAGGAAAACATTCACGCCCTGATTTTACAGGGTGCTTTTTAAGAGGTTCCTGCAAATGGCAGGAAAAGTATTAAATATTAAGCAATCTGGAAGCAACAGCACACAGAAAATAAAGGAAGTATTGAGTGAGCAAGAATATGTGATGACTTAGTACATACCCTTAGTACTGTACAATTCATATTTAGAGGGCTTACATGACACACATCTCTTCCACGTATCTCTTACAATACCTTGCCTGGTCGAAATTCTGGGAAGAGCTCTGTAACACTTGGCAACTGTTTGGAAGCATCTCGCTGCATGATTCCTGCAAGAGGAAGTGTGAGTTTGCCTTCCTTGGATTCTGCCTGCCTGGCTTCTTGAGGTCCCATCTCTGACTCAGAATCAGAGCTGCTGCTGAAATCCACCTTGTCGGAGGCAGCAGAGGAAGGAGCAATGATGGAGGGCAAAATGATACCGTCTCCATCTTCAGATACTACAATAGAACAAGCACCTTATAAACAAACAGGTCTCCTCCCTCTCCCCTAGCATAACCCCATAATGCCACATCTACTGTTTATACCAACTTATGCAAAAGTTAAGCCTTTGCAGACGTTATCAGTACCATTCTGGTTTAACCTTTCATTTTATCCTAAGCGTTCCAGGTGCATTTCCCAGCCACAACTGAGAGGATGAGATAAAAAAGCAGTTTCATGGTCAATATTGGTATTTCAACAATACAAAACTTCACCCTACATTTCAGACCACCCTGTAACATCACACCTCAGGACAAACACTCACCTTCAGGCGCAGTCTGCAGACGGGGCTGGGATGACGTGTGGTCCCTGCTGCAGAACGAGCTGCAGCACAGCAGCCTTTGCCTCCTTCAGACACTCACATTGCTAGAGAGAAGAAGAAAGTCCTCACTCACCAGTGGCAGCTGCATCCTTTTCATCTTCTTTTTTTCCAGGTACTGGAGGTGGTGGCGGCGGTGGCATCAGCTTGGAATCGATATCTTCACAGTCAGCATCGTAATCGTCCTCATCTTCATCTAATCAGGGAGGAGACAGGACTACTTATTAAGCAGATAATAAAAGGAAACCAGGCACCCTTTCCACTTATGGTATCTCAAATTTGCCCCAACCTGATGGCAAGGACACCATTCTTATCTTGCAACTAGATGCAAAACTCTTACTAGTTAAGCTTCCTGCACAAGCTCGTTTGCAAGATGAAAGTTTAAGAAAGAGTGAGAAGGAGGGAAAAAGATAAACTGACATAAAGATGACTGAAGCACTTAAAATGTATGTATATTCTGCTATCACCTCCTTTTGTTCACACTCTGCAGAGCAAATAAAGCTATTACAGAAGAAAAATGTGGTCAAAAAGTCCCAATCACCTATGTGTCCCTAACCACAATATGTCATCAGAAAGATTAAGGGTAAGGCAGCTTTAAGGAATATGCAAAGATTTAGCTTTTGCACCATGTTTCTGAAAGTCTGTTCCAGGCCAGATAGAGATACCTGGGACCAACAAAAGAACCAAAGTGCCTTCTGCAGAAAGTCAACTCAGAAAAAAAAAAAAAAAAAGAGTAAAGCAGGAGAAAGAAATTGAGGTGACTCTCTTAGGAAGCAGGACCATATTTCTATCTTTGAGTAACTCCAAGAGGCACTAGACCTCCTGCATAAACATAAGAACACAGTTTAAAGAAATATGAGCAGATATTAGGTATTCTCTGCAGGGGATAACACCTCCTAGAGGTAGAGCTGTCATGCTGATCCCCTCTTTACCTGGCCTTCGAGCTGGCTGCAGGCTGCCCATCGCCTGCTTGTACCGGCGGCTCTCATCCTCTGCCACCTCAGTGATGTCTGAGTAATCAACAGCATCTTCCGTGCTCTTGACCCAGCCTAGGGAGAAGAGAAACCTCATCACACAAAACTTCACCCTAATATATATTACTAACTGCAGACTTCACTAAGTACATATGAATCCTTTCCTCTGCTTCCTTTACTTAGAGGAACGAAAAAATTCGGTCTCCCACCCGAGTACCTTTCCCCTCGTTCTAACCAAAACTCCCATAGCTTTGAAGTTCCCCTAAGGATTGGGAAGCAGACAACTTTAGCACAAGGAAAACCCATCACTCAGTGAAACTGCTCGGCATGTTCAGAAGTTAAAAAAGAGACGCTATATCACTGTATTAAACAGGCTTCTCTAATACAGGGGCAAACACAGACTTACTTGTGAAGGAGGAGAGACAAGTAAAAAACTTACAAAAATTAAAGAAAACAAGCGTAAAATTGATCAGGAGATACCATAACATTCAGTCTGACAAGCAGAAGGTAAGGCCTTTGACAGAGGCCCTCTGACCAGGTAACACCATGATATTCCCTGCAGACCCTGATGAGCCGGGTGCATTTTTTTCTCTCCAGCAAGAGCTCTTTAACCCCAGGTACCCCAGTGCCAAACCTTCCTCATCCAGGTGTGCTCCCTCGCTCTCCGGGCTCTCCTCCTCGCTGGCTGTGATCTCAGTGATCAGGTTGCCCAGTCCCAGCACGCCCAGCCCAGCCAAGTGCTTCTTGGATTCCTGGGGAGACCAGAGCTGGGAGGCTCCAGCAGCCAAGGCCAGGCCAGCCCCGTGATTGCCAGCTGGGTCCAATCCCGGAGCCCACCCCAAACACCACAGGACACTCTGAGACACCCCGAGCACCCCAGTACAGCCTGAGCACCCTGAGTCATCCTGGTACATCCCAGATCACTCCAAGCACCCCGGCACACCCAGATATACCCCGAACACCCAACTACAGCCTGAGCACCCCAGTACATACCAGGTCACCCCAAACATCCCAGTACATCCTGGGTTACCCCAGGCATCCCAGAACACCCCGGGTCACTCCAGTTCATCTCAGTGCACCTCGAGCACCCCAGGTCTCCCCGGTACAACCCAGTTCACCCCAGTACATCCCAGGTCACCCTGAGCACCCCGGAACACCCTGGGTCACTCCTGTTCATCCCGGTACACCCCAGGTCATCCCAGTACACCCCGGTGCACCACAAGATCCCCAGTACGCCACAGGTCACCCCAGTACATCCCAGTTCACCCCAGTACATCCCAGGTCACCTCGAGCACCCCAGTACACCCCAAGTCATCCCTGTACATCCCAGCTCACTCTAGTACATTCCAGGTCACCCCTAACACCCCAGTACACCTTGGGTCACCCCATTTCACCCCGCTACATTCCGGGTCGCTCTGCTACCTCCTGGTGCACCCTGAGCACCCCGGTACACCCCGGCTCATCCCGATACATCCCAGGGCACCCCGAGCACCCCAATAACACCCCAAGTACCCCAGTACATCCCAGGGCACCCCGAGCACCCCAGTACACCCCGGTACATGCCAGGGCACCCCGAGCACCCCGGCACATCCTAGGGCACCCCGGCTCAGCCCGGCTGACGCCCGTCCCCCCGCAGCGACGCGGCCCTACCTTGTCGAGGACACTGTCCCCTTCCAGCTGCCCCGCCTCGTTGATGTTGCCGAAGAGGAACCCGGCCAGGGAGAAGGGCTCGGCGCGGCCGCCGTCCGCATCCTCCTCGCTCTCCGAGTCCGACATCGCGGCGCCGACCCGGACACGGAAGCGGGGCCGGGGCGGGATCGGGGCTGGCACCGCCCTGGGAACGGCCCCGCCCGCAGCGCCCCCGCGCGGCCCCGCAGGGAACCGCGGGCGCTCCGCCCGTCCCAAAAATTCCTTCTTTATGGCCTTTTGGGAACCGGCTTTCCGCAGGAAAGAGCTGCCTTTTAGCACAGGTGCGGTACGGAACGGCAGGGCGAGTTAATGCGACAAGCCACGGAGGTGGGGGGAAAGGTTTATTGCAGTGCATAATTTAAAAGTGAAGAGAGGGGGGAAAAAAAATCCTTTAAAACTGTTAGAGTGATACAAGTTATTTTATCGTATAAAATCAAGTCGCCAGTGTACGTATCAGTGCCACACTTCAGAGTCTTGGGCTCCCGCTGGTGGCGGGTGGTCCTTGCCGCCCACCCAGGGACCCCGGTGAGATCCATCCTCTTCTCCAGGTCAGCCCAAGCAGCACCAAGGTTTCTACAGAGTGAGGTTTAGCACGTGAGAACAAAGCATGGTGAGGCTCTTCTAGCTTAAAACTCACAGAAATAGCTACAGCTGTAAACCGAAGAAAGCACTTCCACATCTAAGCACACCTCGTAACATCCTTTGGACACAGAATTCCTGAACTGCTCGGCTTCAGCTATATTTAAAAAAAAAAACAAGTACTTCAGAAATCATTCACAAACTGAAAGATTAAAACCTGTCTCTTCGCAGTGAGCCTCTTCTGTGAATTAAGATATACACACTGCATCTCTACTCAGTAACAAACTGAAGGATCTTGAACAGTTTGGGAAACCCACACAGCTTAACCGGATTTTCTGATCTCCCAAAACAAGACAAAATCCAGCCATGGGATGATGCGAAGTCTGTATTTGTCAACGGAAGAAAAATAAAACATGGGAGAAACAGAACTGATTGTAGACTGAAGCACTGGACTACTTACAATAAAATGCACCAAAAATTGTTAGGGAGGGGGGGGGAAAGGCAGGAAGATCAGAAATGGAGAATGCCCACTGAATGGAGAAGCTCACTGGATTCCTGAGCTCCTGAAGCTCATCCTCAGGAAAAGCAGAGGCTGGAAGAAACCAGCTGTCAGCCAGGACTGTTACTCCTGGCAGGAAGTGACAGAAATACAAAGCATCTAAATAACCAGGTACTCCAAAGCCAGTAAAAACCTTTTGATGGTGTTCAAAGTTCACTCTCTGCTCATTTTCATGACTACCGTGTTATTCTCCTCAGTACTGTTGTGCAATCCATTTACTAAGTAATCTAAATGGGCATAAAGTGTTCTGGTATAATGCAATCAATAATGCAACCGATTCAAATAAATTGATTAAGCAGTTGAATTTTATCTCGCCATACTCTTTTCCAGTTCACACCAGGATGGCTGTTTGTGAGCCTACAGAAACAGGGGGGCAAGGGTTGTGCAATAATACTTTCTCACAAGATTTCCTCTCCACAAAATTCTTGTAATCCAGTTAGGAACAACCACAAAAGACACAGAACTAAAAGATTTCAGTATGTAAAAAAGTAAAAACTTTTTAAAACAGTAGTAGCCTCAGTACAAAACTGCAAATATATGTAGCAAAAAAAAAAAGTAGACTTTTAATTTCAATAACAGGCACCTCTTAAGACTAGTTCAAACATGTCACAGACTTTTTTTTAAAGTACATCTCTGAATAAAGCAAAGGTTAAGGGCTTGCACCACGATAACTAGACAGTTGATTTAGGTCTGACCAACATTAAAACAAACCATGTGCACTGGCTTAAATAAATACATTTTAAACATGGTAAAATCTATTTACTCAGTTACTGAAATTTACCTACAGAAAATAATCTTGAATTACAAGGCACAGAGTTAATTGCTGCCTGCAAGCCCAGCCCACACTAAAGGCCTACAGCTAAAGCAAAGGCAGAACGTGGTAAGTAGAGGTTATCTCACAGAATACTCTATACCCTCAGAGCCTTCAGGGCACTGTGGCAGGAACCACATCTGGAACAGCACTTTCTCTACAAGTGCAAAAGACGCAAAGACACTCCAGGCAATGGCACTTGGTGAAGAAAAATATGCAGAGTCTGTAGGGCTTCTGCAAACATCCCACAGAATGGGGGGTTTTGGTACTGCCTGAGCTCAGGCAACGTTTGGAACTCGGTGTTGGTTCACTAACCACAGGTACCAGTATTTGGATTAACTGCAATTTATAATCAATGGCTAAAGCAGTACCAGAGTGAGCATCCGTCAGATAAACAAGAACTGCAGTTAGCGTCAGCATCAGCTACACCAGCTGAAGAAAGGCACATCCTCTTCAAAGAGTGGAATAAGGGCGCAAATAAAAACATTTCTATCCACCTGGTATTTTTGCCAGCATCAGATAAAGCAAGCTCAAATTAACACAAGATCCCTCACAACCTTGTGGATGTATTTTCTGTTATCCTGCTAAAACGAGGCACTTTTTTTCTGACCAGGGTATACACCAGTGCAGTTTTGCATGTGTGGGAATCACAAGAAAGCAAGTTCTGAATGACCAATTGAGGCTGCAGCCAGACAAAGACAGCACTGTCAACTTCAGACAACAAAGCCCAGTCCAGCACCACTGGTTTCACACAAAGTATCTTTGAAGCATGCTGCTTTCATACCATCGAGCTGGAAGGTTAAGTCTAAGGAAGGTTTCATGCGCTCACTCCTCAGCTGGTCCCGGAACCACACATAAAGAACAGTGCACATCCTGAAAATAAAAGCCAGCTGCCACTTACTAGAGCTGCTGAAGAAAGTTAAAAAGTATGTAAATAGAACTTCAGTTAAAAGAGTTCATAAAAACTGAGCATCCAGTAGAGAGGGAAAAAAAAAACTGCCCAGGTAATCCTATCCAGTGACTGGCTAACCATTACAGATTGAACTGACAACAGGAAGAAACGCGGGCTCCTGTAATCAGAACCTCCAAAATTTCTGTCAGTGTTCTCACAGAAAAAAACAACACAGGAATTTGCCATAAAAATCTCAGGTGGTGGCCCCAAGAACGTTAAGAAGTGAAGCAATTAATTCCTCAAGAGCTGCTTTCAAGTCTCTGGGATTCATCAGAGAGATTACATTGAAAATCTCATTTTGAGAAGTGTCATCCCAAATATCTCAGTCATCCCGGGAAGGTAACTGTTAAAACTTTATTCTCAGGGTGCAATGTCTCTTTGGACAGTGAAATAAAATCTCAGTTTAGAAGCTTATGGAAGACTTGCATCTAAACTACTCTACCACTTCTCCAACTCAAAACTATGAAAATCACTCGTTTGAGTGATTCATCATTTTTCTAAGTTCCTTACATTAGGAAAAATCAGCTCCTGCTTCTGTTAATAAAATCATTGCAGGTATTCCCTGGGTCTTGCTCATTGCATTAATCGTGCCTTACACTAACTCTTCATATAAATGATCACAGTTCATTATAAGGTGAATCTCAGTAATATTTCAGGCATTTTTGCAAGTAAACAAATTGTTTTCAAGCTTTAAATTGATAAAACAACCGGCCTTCTGTTTGTAAAACAAATTCAATCAGTAAATAAAGGATGGGAAAAGCAGCGGCTAGACTTAAAGCGGGGTTATCAGAATTGGTGCTTTTCAGCAAACCTAGTAACTGATGGCTATCTAGTAAAGAAGTGGCTTCAAAGGAGCCTCCTCTTTTATTTTCCTCCGCTAAAATAAGGACAGAACCCAGGTGATCCCTGGAGAAGCTGCTGGAGACTGGAACTTTAGAAATAAAGTAGATATTTGACCTCTCTGTTGGAAAAAAAAAAACCTGTTCTGTTTCAGTTTCCCTGAAGCAGTAAGACTGCAAGAATATTCATTGTATAACCGATTTCTGCTTAGAGCTGTTAGTGCAAGATGCAAATCTTCAATTTAACTCATTAGAAAGCCCTCCAAGATTCTAGTCAACAGCAACATCCATCACCCAAGGTGACTACAATAAGACACATTTTCTTGTGTTCTTCTTCGTCACAGGATACAGAACTGCACGGACAGCTTCAGCAAACACCTCCCGAACGCCCTCCTGATTCAATGCTGAGCACTCCAAATATTTGACTGCTCCAATTTGTTTAGCCAGTGAAGTCCCCTGCTGCGGGGTGGTGGGAGCCAAGCTCTGCTCTTTCAACTTTTTAACTGTTTCCAGGTCATTTCTCAAGTCTCTCTTCGTGCCCACTAGAAGAATGGGGACATTTGGACAGTGGTGAGAAACTTCGGGATGCCATTTGTGCCTCACGTTTGCATAGGAAGAGGGGCTGCCAATGGAGAAGCAGATGATGAAGACGTTAGTTTGAGGGTAGGAGAGCGTGCGCAGGCGGTCGTATTCCTCCTGGCCTGCAGTGTCCCAGAGATTCAGGCTGACTGTCCGGCCATCCACAGTCATCTGGGCACTGTAGTTGTCAAACACAGTCGGGATGTACTCCTCTGGGAAGGCATTGGTGGTGTAGCTGATGAGGAGACAAGTTTTTCCCACAGCGCCGTCTCCGACCACCACGCACTTTATAGTCTGCATCCTTCACCCAGAAACAAAGTCCTGCACAAAGCAAGAAAAGGAGTCAGGAAAAGCACGCTCAACGATGGCCATTTTAAAGATAAGCTTTAGCAAGTGTTTTTAATATAGCTAACAATTTCTTATCACAGCTTGACACACATTCAGTGTCTCGAGCCATTCTAAAGAGCTCCCGGGGCTAGGAAGACAATAGTGAAATGGAGATGCAAAGAGTTGAGAGCTAAGTGACAACTGGCTGCATTCCAACCATGTAAGTACAAATTAGCCAAATTCCCACAGTCTTGCCTTACTGCCAGACTGTTTCCCACAGGCAAAAGGACAAGCCCTTAGAGGCACCTGCAAGTGGAAAGGGATCGTGACCTCAGACCCAGTAACAAGATACTCTGTCCTTTTAGGTTCACACATGCACCTCTGTACACACACACTCTCCAAGATTCACACTTCTTGCCTACATAGTCCATTGCCTAAACAGTTTACCACAAAGAAAGATCCAAAAGTTATATGCTAAACCAAGATATTCATTGCTGGGCTGCACTGCAACTGTTTACTATAATAATTCACTATACTCAGATCAATCAGACCTCAAGAAACTGCATTACTTAGAGGACACCAGATAAAAGGTTCAAAAGCAGCATATTCAAGAAAAGCTGTTCTTTGAAATATAACTAGCCATAGTACCCAGATTAGACTACATAAAGAATTTTTCTAAAGAAGCCAAGAACAGATTACTCTCACTAATCAGTGACAGAACAAGCAGAACTTAATAGGCTTGAGCTACTTGGTGTCCTCTAAATAATGAGCATGAGAAAAGTATATGCTGTAAAAAATAGCATTCCTAGGCAAACTGGGGAATTGTTACACAGGAGATACCTGACACTTTAAGTAGTTTCCCTTATCCCTTTCCTGCTATATGAAGATTAGGTTTGATAATCTAAGTGATACAGTCTGAAACACAATTAATTTTAAACTATATTTGAAAATAGCATGGAACTGCAAGCAGTCATTTGTTGTACGTTGGAGCTTCCACAGCCAGTCTGAACAAGAAGGAACTTGCCTCTGCCTTCTCACCCAAATGCCTTTGAGGGACTATCAGAATCCTCAACTTGCAACCAGCAGCAAATACACTGTTTCAAACAGAAGAAAATAGTGGGAAGAACTTTTTAGCAGGGCCTGTTACAGTAGGACAAGGGGTAATGGTTTTAAACTAAGAAAAGGTTGATTTAGATTAGATATAAGGTAGAAGTTATTCACAATGAGGGTGGTAAAACACTGGCACAGGTTGCCCAGAGAAACTATGGATGCCCCATCCCTGGAAACCTTCAAGGCCAGGCTGGATGGGGCTCTGAGCAACCTGATGTAGTTGAAGATGTCCCTGCTCATTGCAGGGAGTTGGACTAGATGGCCTATAAAGGTTCCTCCCAAACTAAACTATTCTGATTGCATATTCCAGAAGGATCTCAGTTCCAACACCATCAAAGAATAAAAGGGAATATTGGAAAATCGGCAAGTGAAGTAAGTCACTTATAACAGCCATGAAACCCCCTCCCTCCAACTTCCTCTTAAGACCATCCAAACAAATCAACAACTCATTATCATTCAAGTCTCAGCTTTGTCCTTTCAGACAAAGTCTTTATCTGTCTCCACATACTGCTGTGTTCCCACTGGGAGTACACAGGATTCTGCTGGACTGAGTGAAAATGGGACTACCTGAAGCTTCGGCACAAAGCTGCAACAGGCAACTCGAGTGACAACCACTGTGGCCACTACAACACACAGTGCTTAGGAAAGGATCAGTGTGTGTGAACAGGCACTGCTGAAAACCAACCAGTGGTGGGAAGCAGTGCAGAAACCCGGCAGGACATTGGAGGGGAAAAATTTGGAGGGAAACAAAAATGCAGAAGCAGACTATCCCTTTTGAAAATGGCAGGAACTAGATTTCTAAAACAGCATGAATCACCTGAAATGAAACCTGGCAAGTGCTTTTGAGCTTTGGCAGAAGAGCATACATACGAGTTTCTTCGCAGATCAAAAAAATCAGTCGTCCCATTTCAGGGCTCCAGTCAAATGTAAAGAGAGATATGTATGGAACTGCATAAAGGTAATCACTAAAATGAAGAACAGCACTGAGCAGCAAAAGCTGAGGGCAGGACTGAATATATTATTCCAAAACAGTTGCACCAAGAATGGAATTTAACAGAACTGGAGGGAAAAAAAGAAGAAAAAAAAACAAAGGGGGGGGAAATACAAAAAAAACCCCAAAACCACCAAAAAAGGAAGTTGTGCCAAATTAAAACTCGCATTTTGCAAACCTCAAGGTTGAAGCCCATTTTAATACTAAATTATTTAAAACATTACAAATTAAACATTTTTGACATTATATTATTAATCGAGATTGAACACTATTAATGGCAGCACACAACAGTATTTCTGAACACAAAGGGTCTGAGTGACAAAAGAGCAGACGTACTTTAACACTGTAACACTGTTCTACCTGATGATGCAACAGCGACTCGGTGTAGGGCAGATCACAGTCTGCCTTCAGACACTGCCACACTCCCTCCATCCGCCTCCGGGAGTTTCCAAACCCTCTTTCCCCTTCCCACCCCGGTAGCACAGCACCTCCTCAGCTGTGATCACACACTGAAGAAGGCTGAGGAGTTGAACTACTTATTAAACTGGATGAAACCACAATCGATTGTGAAGGTACCACCAAGCCAGTGGCAGCAGATGGTGGGAATGAATCACCACACGCTGCTGCTGCTGCCCAAGTCCCTGGACTGCAGCACACAGAGCAGGTTTTAAAGCTTACTCCTGCACTGACATCAAACCCCTGAAGTGCCAGAACATGCTCTGCCAGAACCCTTAGTGGTGACCAACACCACTGCTCCCAGAGCAAAGGCTTTTTGCCCAAATGAATTATCTGTGCAACAGACGATTCATTTTGATTAGTCCATAACAAGTGACATCACAGGGATGGCAGGACTAAGTCAGCTGGACACATGCAACAAAAAATTCAACTCTAGCAACAAGAGTCCCATGAAGAACAAAAAAACACAAAGCCTTTTATACGCCCAACTCCTAGTTTCTAAAGTAAACAAGTTGCAAAGACTTGTAAACAGATCTCTCCTTAGAACACAAACCAAAAGCTCCCCCAAGTGCTTGCACCTCTTACATCTCTAAGCACTTCTGTCCAGAGCTTTCCACAGAATGACAGGGTATCCCCAAACTGCATCCAGCCTGAACACAACAGGCACTGTCTGGAGGGTCATCACACCAGCACTGCCAGGCAGTACAGGCATTTTATGAACTGATAAACTACAAAGCTACAAGTACCCCAGACCACCAGCAGTTAACACAACCTGATTTAAAATGTCTCATGAAAGTGTGTTACCCAAAGATTATTTTGTTGGGGCTTTATTTAAGAGGTTATTACGGATTTCAATTTGGAAATTGGTAATAATGTAACAAAAAGGCCTGGAACATAAATGCTCTTTCACAGAACTAATACCTGGAATTACCCCACTAAGGCTGGGATTTTAGAAGAGCAGCATTTGCAGTAGGAAATAACTCCATGCAAACACGCCAAAGCATCAGGCAAAGTATTAACTACACAAACACAACTAAAGAGCTTGTAGGCTTTTAAGTGTATTTCTCTGAAAGGCTCCTTTAAAGTAGGTTGCTCTAGCTGAAAGGAATCACGTGTGGCACATGCAATACAGAAAAACAAACATGCACCAGAACACACAATATTTGTACTGAAACACAAAACTTAGATAAATCAATCAAAAAATAATGAGTAGAAAGAAGACACTACACTCCAGAAACCTGTCTGTTGTGAGCGGGTGTAGCTTGGTAAAAGATTTACACATGGAAGACACAGATCTTTTTAATATAAGTCACAACCAAGAAAACTAATATTACCTCCATCAGGCCTTTTCTATTAAATCCAGGTACTGCTTTCTCCAAAATATATGAAGTCTCAATTTAGTTTCTCTTGTAAACAATCTGTTTAGCAAGAAAACTCTCCCAAGACTGTAAAAATCTGGGGTTCAAATTTGCATGGCACCCTTCAAGCTGGCACTGCATGCTATCTAAATATAAATATATACTGAAAAAAAACCCATCATCCAAAAACAAAATTACCAACAAACATTAACAAGAGTAGGAAAATTGGTTTAGGGTTTGTTTGGGGTTCTTCTGGTGACCTTCTAACGAATTTTTGGGGAAATTTTAGAAAGAAAAACTCCACATACAATAAGTAACAAGAACTGAAAAACAGCAAAATACAGATTAACACGTCAACACATCAAAAAAAAAAATACTTAAGAATTTAGAAACAGAAAGCTGGGCACAAGCTTCAAAGCCAAGTTTAAAGGTTATGCAACAAGAGAAGCAAGTGAATGGAAAATCCAAAGTAGTGAGAGGTAATCTGCGTTCTTAGTCCTGCCAGAGAAAGTACTTTTATTACAGCTAAGGTTCTAGCAGCTACAGCATAATGGGAATAATTTTCAAATTAAATAATAATTATTTAAAAAAAAAAAAAAAATCACCCCACACAGAAGTGTTGTGCAAAAATATGCAGATGAGAGTTATTTCTATCTTGTCCATCAGTGCCTTTGAATTAGAAAACTGGCATTCCCTGTTTGGGTTAGTTTCCTTCTCAGAAGATGCTGCAAAGTCTGACTTCACTGCCTGCACACCTGGCACTTCCTCTGGAATGTGCAAGATTTCAACTGGCGTGTCAAGACATCATCTGGAGAGCTGCTCCTGTTCTGAGCTAATTAAGTCTTTTCTGGTATCATTAACGTGGACAGCTTGCTCTCCTAACACCCAGGTGAATATCTGTTGGGGAAATTCACGATTTGGATCCCACTCCCCCTCCCCACAAACCCATCACAAGTGAAACCACAGAAAAACTTCACGTTGCATCACAATTTTTTTGTGGGAGAGAAAAAACTTCTCGATCTTCCCCTCAACACTTCTGAAGGAAAGTTCCCTGCATGCTCAGAGAAGGGGGAATACAGTGACAGGAAACAGCAACCCAAGTTCTTCTGTAGCTCTCCAGATTTATGCTTTTTATACTTCCTGCACTTCTAAAAACTCTTGGCAGAGAAACTACTTCTTAGTAGGATTTGTCTCTGCCCTTGCTATGCTAACCTCTTTGTTAGGTGGATTTTAGCTTTGATACTGCTCTTTGATAAACTCACTTTCACTGAGTTTGCCAGGTCTTCCCTATCTCTCTTTACAGTTTGGATACGGCCCCGTTTTGGCCAAAACCGAGCCAAAAATGCACCAGGAGTTCAGCTGAAATCAGCTGTACTGATCTGTGTCGTTCTGCTCAGCCACCACATTTGACCAAGCCCTCCCCTGGATCAGACATTTGCTCCTGTCTTACCGGGGCAAGCAGAAGTTAGGAAAAATAAACAACTTAACTGCTCATCTTTCAGTAACAAAAACTAGATCAGAGACGATTCACTGTCCACCTGAAACATGAAGTCAGGCAGAAACTTTCAACAAAGAATTGGGTGGATAAGGCAGCTCCAAGTGTATCACACCACCCTCACCCACGCAAAGGAGTTAATTCACATGTGCAGCTTACCCACCAAGACTAAAAGGGAAGAAAAAGGGGCTCTCAGCAATTTAATCAAGCCTCTGTCACTATTCCACAACAGCTCAGCTTACTCGCCATTGTTTTAGGCAAGTGCCAAAGGAATGGACAAGTGCCAGACTTTTAGAATGCATGCCAAGAAGGAGTAAAAAAAGTTAAATAGGAGACCTCATCCCTAATATCCTTCAGCAACGAATGACCTACTTGGACTCCCCAGCGCCTCTCAAAGTTTTCACACCGCTTTCTGTCCTGCCATTTACCTGCAAGAGAAACAAAACGCTCAGCAACAACCTGAATGGCAGCAGAGGGGGGAAAAAATCAACAAGCCAAGGCAGATTTCAGCAGCACAGCAGGAACTGTGCACTCCACCACCCAAGCTCCACACGAACAACAGAATGGAGGAGGCTCATTTTCTGCAGAGCTCTCTGCCTGGAAATTCAGCTTCCAGGCACATGTCGCTGATGCCTTACACCAGTGCACTTCTCACTGGTTGTTCCTTCGGTGCCAATGCTACAAAGCCCTTACACCTCTTGACGCAGAAAGCTATTTCAAAGAAATAAAAGAAACCGCTCAAAACCTTTCAAATAATATTTTTAAAACCTCTACCCCTGTCAAATTAGGTTGAAATTGGTTTATGGATTTAAAGATTTTTTTTTTTCCCAGGGATGAAACACAGATAAGCTTTACCATGTAAGCCATGTTTCTTAGGGAACTACAGTGAAAACAAAGTGGTCTGCACGAGGTATTTTGGCACCTCAACAACACAAACCTCAGTGCAACAACACTCTTACTACAGGCACTCATACTCCAAATTTTATAGGAGAGCAATAATATCAGTGACTAAATATCAAATACCTTAAATTCTATGAATCTAAGATTATATTTAATGGATAATTAATATTTTAAAAGAGGTTTAGGTCATGAAACAGCTGCACAGTTGATGAAACAACACTGCAACAAGGTACAGCTGCACAGTCACAGGAGCTAAAAACCAAGACTTCAGCAGGTATCTGAAATTCCCAGTGTAGGAATGTGACATGTATCCTGCCATAATCAAAAGCCCCTGAGTATTAAACTTGGTTTTCCTCCTGCCACCCACAGAATCATGGATTCATCCAGGCAGGGACCCTTCACAGTTTATCTGAGCACAAGGGACCCCGACGAGCTCCAGTGGCGAGAACAGCAAAGGTGTCAGAACAGGAGCCAGGACTGCAGGGTTCTGTGCCCACATCCACTGCTTGTCTGCTGGGTGACATAAGCAACTTGCACAGGTCCTGGGGATCACAGTCAGTTCATCAAAACTTAGTGACACAATGTCCTTTCTACCTTCTGTAGATTCTGACACAGCCTCAGTCCTTACTGTGGGCTAAAACAAACAAACAGTACCTCAGGCATAAGGCTGGGTGAAGAGGTGTATTAAGCAGCTCGTGGCAGGATGAATGATAAATCCAGTTTAAGCATCCTCGATTCCTATTTGAGGTGGAAAGAAAGAAAACTGTTAGTCTGTCTCCCTATCATGTTTTGTCACCTGGCATTTGCTGGCACTCTGGGTTGTAACAAAGCCACTGTTGTATCCAAAGGGCAATGTTACACCAGGAAAATCTAAGCTTCTTTCCTTGAGAAAAAAAAAAAGCCCCAACACACTTTTCATTGGGTTGTGTTTCTTTGATTTCTCCTCCTCCACCCGAAACCTTCACTGGGGGGAGGGGTGTGTTAAGACACAAACAAAAAAATAAACAAATAAAACAAACAAAACCCAACAAAACCCACAAAAAAACAAACAGAAACAAACAAAACCCCAAACAAAAACAAAATACAAAACACACAAAACAAAATGGAAAAAAAAAACAAACAAAATCAACCCAAAACAAACAAAAACGCACTTGCTTAATCAATAACAGTTTTCAAAAGTGTCTTTAAAGAGTTTTGCTGTGATTAAGATCAGAGTTAACACATGCACTCATTGTGGTTATCATCATGGCTTGTGCACTACAATACTGCAATTTTTGCCAAGTCTCATTTGCATCATGTATTGCAGTTCTAAAATGTGAGCAAAAGTTAAGGAGTTTCTCAGCAGTCTGACAGATTTACACATTACAGGCACATACAGCAAAGCAAAAAAATATTCCCTGTAAAGGCATGACACCAAATTGAGTGAAAACACTTTAGACTGCAAAAGAATCACAGCCTCACCACGTAAGCAAATCAAACTGCACATTCAATTTCCTCTTACTAATTGCAAACTGCATATTTATTATTTTTCCAAGATCTCTGTAAAATTCCTCCATAGAAGAACATTCAAAAGCAGGGGTTTTTTTAATGGAAACAGCAAGCTAAAATGCCAAATATGTCTCATAATCTTAAATTCCCTATAGGAAAATTGTTGTGCAGCTGAACAGCAGCAAACTGGCCCTAAACCGTGCCTTTGAGCGATGTACTTTACATCTCACACGGAAGAGAACGTGAGCTTTTGAAAATCAAAAAATAAGCTTGGGGCAAAGAGCTTAATGATGCTAAAGAAGGAGTACTGCACTCCAGCACAGGACACATGTTGCAAGTATGGGGTACACATAAAGAACGCTTAAATTAAAGTACCTAAAGCTTTTTTCATAACTCAGATTATGATGGGCATCACAAGTGTTTATAAAGAGTAAACAGATAGTGATTACTCACTGGTTCTTAAAAAAAAAAAAAAAGGAGCAAAAGGGACAAAAAAAAAAAAAACACAGGAGAGGAGTTCAGAACAAATAAAAAGCAGCATTGCTTCTCGGGGTTTGAGGTTAAGCAGGAATTCCTCGGTGCAGGTTGTTATAAAAACTGAAAGTTCATAGGACTTCAGAGGAGAGCCATTAAGCTGATTGAGGCTGCTAAATGAGACAATACCTGTGACTCCTGACATCCTCCAAAATATTTCAGGTGGCTACTTTGCCCTGCTCTTCCCGAGACAGCAATTTGTTTTTAGAAGGCAGATCAAATACGACTCTTCTTATATCCCTCCCAGAAAAATCCACTCTCGGCAGTGAAAGAAGAGACCTTTCCGGAGGCAAACTCATCCCGTGCCAACTTTTTATGACACTCGCCGGGAGCAGAGGTCGCCTTAAGCCTGCGGCGGAGCTCCCGATACGGATGAGCATCAGCCCGGCGCTGGAGCAGCGCGGCCCAACCTCCGCTCCCCGCGGAACGGGCAAAACCACGACCGGTCACGGGGCCGCTCCCCGAGAAACGGCACCGGAGGAGGGTTTGCTTAAAAACCCCTCCCCGGTTTCTCCGGGCCCCCCGACGAGCACATTCAGCGCCCGGCGTGCGGACGCGCATCTCACCTCCCAGCACCCCCGGGCACCACCAGGCCACGCGGCCGGGGCGCGATGCCCCCGGTGCTCCCGAGCTCGCCCTTCCCGGCGGGGCAGGTACCGCAATCCGCCTCTCCTCCCGGCGAAGGGACCCGCGGTGGCCCCGGGGCCGCCGCCCCGCGCTGACAGCGGGGCCGGACGCGGAGGATGTTCCGGCACCGCCGGGCGGGAACACGCGCGCGGGGCCCGCCGGGGCCGCTCCCCCGCCGCGCCCTCCGCTCCCCACGGAGGCTCCCCGGGACCCCCCCCCCCCCCCCGCCGCCCGCTCGCCCCGCTCCTCGGCCCGCTCTCACCTCCGGGCGGTGCCGGCGGCCGCCGCCGCTGCCCCGGCTGCCCGCGGACCCTCGACCCGGCCGCGCCCCGCGCCCGCCGCGCGCACGCGCCCTCCGCGCCCTGCGCGGCCCCGCGGGCACCGCCAGGGGGAGCCGGAGCGGCCGCGCCCGCGGCGGCGGAGCGGGAACGGCCCCGGGAACGGCCCCGGCACCGCCCGGACACGGCACAGCGACCCGGGACAGCGACCCGGGACAGCCCGGACACGGGACAGCGACCCGGGACAGTCCGGACCCGGCACCGCCCGGACACGGGACAGCGACCCGGGACAGTCCGGCCCCAGCCCGGCCCCGGGACAGTCCCACCCCGGTCCCGACCCCGGCCCCGGTGATGGGCCAACGCTCCCGTACACCCCCGCCCTCCGCCCCCTTGCGCGCCGCGCGCAGCATCTGCCGTTAATTTCTGATTCTGCGTTCATCCCAATATAGCTTGGATCCGGGTTTTCAATGATTTCTTAAGTTGATTCGCTTTAATCTCCACGAGCAGGAATAGGAAATAAGAGCACGCGTCTCTGTGTGTGCACAGTCACAGAATCACAGAAACAGCCGGCTTGGAAAAGACCTCTGAGATAGTCGAGTCCAACCTTTGACCCAACACCACCTTGTCAACCAGACCATGGCACTAAGTGCCACCTCCAGTCTCTTCTTAAAACCTCCAGGGACGGTGACTCCACCACCTCCCTGGGCAGCCCATTCCAATGTCTGCTCACTGTCTCTGTAAAGAACAACGAATGTACATCACGCATCCTCAACAAGAATAATTCTTTCCTTAAAAAGAATTGTAAAACTCAGTGATAGCTTTTGCTTTCTCTACACAAGACTATACAATGTGCGGCTGATACCTTTGGGTCTTTATGCCTGGATGCTCAGGTGCAGGCGGCACGCGGCTTGCACCGCCTCCCTCCCCCGTTCCCGGCGCTGTTTCGCAGCCCGGCTCCCGCGGAGATCCCCCGCCCCCGCACCCTCCGCCTGTCCCGTGCCGCGGGCGGTATCGCCCTCCCCCGCCCCGGGCGCTGTCACGCCTGTGACGGGCTTTGCAGGAACGCCACGGCTCCGCTGGAACCGCAGGCAGCGATGGCATCTCCCCTGTGTCCACAGTCACCAGCGCCCTCCCAAAGACCCCCAAGGCCCGGCTCCCTTCCCCACCGCCGGGCGAGGGAGAGGCAGGGCGGTCGCACCCAGCAAATCCCGGGACTTGGCACCCCCAGAAGCGCCAGGGTCAGGCAAGATGCCGGGCTGTGAGCACCCCCAGGAATGCCAGCATCAGGCAGGATGCCCAGCTCTGAGCACCCGGGCCCAAGGGACACCTGGCCCAGGCTGCCTGAGGTGCAGAGAGGGGAGCTCCTTCTGTTGTCCTGCCCCAGCCAGACACGGGAGAGGAAGTGGCAGAAGGCAGGGTTTGGCCTGCTGACGTTTCTTAAGCGCCTGTCAGGGATTTCAGAGTACAACCTTTGCTCTGGGTGTTTATTACTTGTTCCTTCTGACCAGGGGAGAGGGCACACTGCAGCCTGCACACGGTCCAGGGTTAGGTCTGCTCCTCTGGAGGCAGTGTCAAGGTCACCAGCAGCTCAGGAACCAGCACTGCTCAGCTGCTGAAGCACTGGACTGTCAGCTGCTCGGTGTTCCCATCTCCAGCTCTTCATATTCCTCCTCCGACCAGCTCAAGCTGTCATCAGAGTCCTCCTCCTGCGCTGCCCCAGGCTCTTCTGCGTTGGCAGCCTCCTTCTCCTGCTCACCACAGGGCTGCAACCTGCTTTGGGGGAGCTCCAGCCTGGCCCAGGAGCCAGGGCTGGCTTTGCAAAGCGTGATCTCCACCTTGGTTGGGACCATGCTCACAAAGCTCTTCTGTATTTCGATGGTCTAGAAAGAGGGAAAGGTGCAGTGAGCGGGGCAGGGGAGGGCAGGCAGCACATGCTTGTCTTTCCCCATAGTGGCAGAGCCCTGCCAGAGGAGAAGAGAAATCTCTCCCTGTGTGCAGGGAGAAACCTGGGCTGCAGCTGAGCTCAGCTTCGCGTTGCTGTGTCTGAGCAGCACCACAGTGCTGGTACAGAGCTCAGGAGGGCTCAGCTCACCACAGTCACATGCGCAGCTGCGGCACAGCCTCTCCCCAGCAGCGAGCTGTGCTCAGACACAGCCATACCCACACCTGTCAGCCCTCTGCTGCCTGCAGGCACAGGCAGCACGCACCAGAAATACAGACAAGAAATGCACATGCAAATTCCTGAGTCTCACTGCTCCTCCCCAGCCAGCGAGCAGCTGAAAAATCAGTCTCTCCCCTCTCGCTGCTGCCTGCCTGCAACTCACAGCAGGGTTGCAGGGGGAGAGGGGGATCTGACCTCCAGCTCTGATCTTAGTCCATTGATCAGTGCAGCCACCTCAACCTCCCCACAACCCTTAAAGCATTTCCTAGCAGAGGTGGCTATAAATGCCCATACCTGGGCAACCCAGCCCAGGACCAAGAGCAAGCCCAGGCTGCCTCAAAGCCTTGCAGCCCAGCCCCATGCAGACTGCTGGAATAAGGAAATCAAAATAAACAGGATCTTACCCCCCAGAGCTCCAGTTCTGCCCGGAAAATCTTATTCCCTTCAAAGATGACATGAGCCTCAATCTGAAACATCAACAGAAAATGATCTGAGTGGGTAGCACAGCACTGCCAGAGCTCTTCCCCCAGACAGTGTAGCCTCCTTTCAGCACCATAATGCATCCCATATCCTGACTCCAGTGTGATGGCCTGGTGATCCCCTCAGCACCTGGCAACATTTCACTCCCTTCAGAGTGTGCCAGGTTCACCTCTGTCACAGGTTGGGTGATTCAAGGCCAGCAAAGCCACCCAGTGAGGCTGAAAGCCAGAGCTGCCAGGCAGATGCTGCTGCAGCAGTGAAGCCACCAGGCTCTCAGTTCAGGGACAGCAGGTCGGCTGGCAGTGCCAACCCTGCCTGTAGTAAGTCCAACAGGCCATCAAGGAGCACCGGGCCCCTGGCTGGCTCCTGGCTCATCAGAATCGGGTGGTGCCATGGAATGACACTCCCCCACCCCAGCTCTGCTGGCCCCACTCACCACAGTGCGATTGGCTTTGACGCTGCTGAGGGCGGGCAGGGGGTTCTTGGCATAGACCGTGACCACCACCTGGCTGCTGGTTTGGTGCCAGTCCTGCCGGCACAGCACCCCCTTCTTGTCCTGCCGAGGAGAGGAGCCCATCACGGCACGGCTGGAGCTCAGGCACACCCCAAACAGAGGGGATGTCCCTGCTCCTTTGCACATCTCCTCCAGGTTGAGGTTGGCATCAGCTGAGCAAGACCCAACCCTGCCTTTCGTGCAGGTTTTTGAGGGAAGGTGGTTCATGCATAGGTGGGCAGCCCCTGCCAGGCTGTCCCATGCAACATGGGACATCTGTGCTGTGCTTAGGGTTGATCCAGGACTTGTTAAGATCAGAGACATCCCCTTCTTGTTCCAGAGTCACTCTAGAACAAGCTCGTAAGTGCTGTGTGCAATCAGGAAACTCAGTCTGGAGGGCACTGCAGGGGCTGTTGCTGTTGAGGGAAAGCCTCAAACCAAATTCAGTTTTCTGCAGTTCTCTGTCCTTACCCCCTTCTCTGTCCAGCAGTGGCACCCTCTGCTGCAGCCTGGCTGGTCCATGAAGGCACTGAAGTCCGTTGTTTTGATTCCACAGCAGCTCCAGTACTTCATCCTGAGGAGACCAGGGTGACCTGAGTGGGGAGTGCACACAGGAGCAGGACCGGGGACCACAGTGTGGTGTGGAGGGAGAGGGTCTTGTAACCAACAGCTCCTCCTGCCCCCTGTCATCACCCACAACTGCCCTGGCTGCGCTGCTGAGGCCACACAACCTTGCAATGCAACACTTTCAGCCCTCAGCAGGGTGAGTTTGCCCTCTGGCAAAGGGTTATTTCTTACCCCTCATGGAAGACAGGAACGCCAGGATGGAACGTACAAACCTCTGCGTTACTCTCCGGGCCCTGGTAGATCTGTGGAGAGAGAAGCAGAGGACAGTTCTGTCTGTGCCTGTGGCACAGCATGACGTGGCACAGCCAGGTGTTCACTCATCGATGCCCATACACACAGAGGGCACAGCACAATGCCCAACATCACCCTTTTGCCAGGCCCAGCATCTGTGAAGACTTACTCTGGGACTACACTCAGCCAGCAGCCCAGCATTGATCCCCGCTCCCTGCTGGCAGGGCAGCCACCCTGGCTTTCCTGGGACAACAGTGTCACTCCCATGACCCTGGCAGCAGCCCTTCTGTTGACCCTCTCCCAAACGCAGCCAGCTCCCAGCCCGGGGCTGGTTTGGACATCACAAGAACTCACTGTGAGGTGCAAAGGGCCATTTGTCCATCCTGTCCTTTCCCCTCCTTCCCAGAGCATGTCAGTCTCATGTCCTCATCTACCTCCTGCCTTTCGCTCCTGTTTGCTCCAGCTCTGCTGCTTCCCGAGCATTCCAGCCCTCCCACCCCTCCCTCGAGGCAGGCAGTGCTACACGAGGCAGCCTTGGGGCAAGACACAAAGTGGGCTGTGCAGCATTAATTAAATGCATTTTACTTACACGCCCAATCCTGACTTTGTGCGATATTTCACTGCAAGCAATGGGCAGCAGTGAAACACGAGTGTACCACCAATCTGGAAGCCTCTTGCAGGAATGTGGCTGGGAGGTGACAGAGGCAGCCACTGCAAGGACGGGATGAGCCTATGGAGCAGATGGGCACTGCCACCTCCCACCTACCTGACACCCTGCCCTGCACCCAGATGGTGTCATCTGGGTGATGAGCCCCGTGATGCTCCTGGTCATGGGGAAAGGAGGGCAAAGCAGGGACCCTGCCGGGCACTCACCGCCTTGCAGGCTGCATTCTTGCACCTGGTGCCAGCTGTCACCTGGGCAGCCACCTCCCCTGCAAGAGCAGCACAGCTTCACACACACACCACCCTCACCTGCCCCCTGATCCCCCCTCAGCCCCGTGCTCAGCTCGCCACCGAGCACAGCCCACTGCAGTGCCCCACCCAGGGCCCAGCTCTGCGGGTTTGCAGGCGGCTGAACACGCAGCACCCACGGCCCAGCACTGAACCCATCAGGCAAAACCTCCACTGAGCTCGCCATGTGCAACCCCACTGCCATCCAACAGCTCATCACTACCTGTGCCACTGCTCTCCAGGGTCTTGTCCTTGGAGGACAGGTTCAGTTTCTCCAGTGCTTGCTCCAGAGACCTGGATACTTTAATGGGCAGCAGTTGTCTTGGCTCATCAGAGCTGGGAAACAGCAGCAGCAAAGGCTGAGTATTTGGGGTTTTTTTGCAATTTAAGTGTTGTTGCCTCTCCTGAGGAAGCAGCGGGGCAGGACACATGCAGAAGCTTTACAACGCTGTAAGCTGAGCCTATCTCACCTTGGTCTTTCCCGCAGCATCTTCTCAGCTGATTTTGGTCCTTGAAAGATGAGCTCCTCTGCTGGCTTGGCCTTCGGCTCATCTGAGGTCTCCCCCTGGCTGGAAGGCTCAGGGGGCTTCTCCTTGCTGTGAAACCCCTTTGTGCATCCCTGAACATCAGAGGCAAGCCTGATGACTGCTTTGTACTCCCAAACATGGTGGCTGCTCCCAAACCCTGCGAGTTTCCACTCTCTGGGGGCTCTGTGTCCTGCAGGGATGGGCTCTGACCCTACACCAGGGCAGGGGCTGTGTCCATGGGAATTCTCGGGGGTAAGATGGTGTGGAGGCCTCTCTGGGGCCATGGTAGGCAGGTCTCAGCCCTGCTGCACCCCAGTGTGGCAGCTGAATGGCAGCAGGAGTCTCCTCCATGTTCCCAGGCCTCTGGTGCCTCCTCACTCCCCCAGGACCACTCAGACATTCTCAGCTGTGCTGATGCTTTGGGCATTTATGTTCCTCCTACAGGATCCTGGTGGGGGATACCAGCCCCTTCCAGCACCCTTCTGCCGGAGAACCTTCCCTGCACTTTGGGAGCAGCACCCTTGCTTGCAGGCTCCTTGGAAGCAGATAGGAAATCCCTGGCTGGCAGGGCAAAAGGGGCAGCCTTGGTAGAGGATGGGGATGGGACAGGACAGGGCAGGGGCCAGGAGGAGAGGATGGAGGAAGAGCATTTGGGTGCATTTGGGCTGGTGGGTCGCTCACCTTTATGGAGAGGAACTCTGAGAAGTCTGTTGTGCGTTTCTTGCAGCAAGACCAGCCCTAGGCAGCAGGAGATGACAAGCTGGTCAGGTGTGGGCAACCCTGCTGGGCACAAGGTCAGCCCCTGCAGCTGCAGCCCCTGCTCCAGTCCCACTCACCTTCAGGGCATCGTGGAAGATGGGGACACCTGGGTGATACAGGCAGGAGTCTGAAAAGGGAAAACCAGGCAAAAGCTTTCAGGGGAAGCGATCCTGCCCACGAGCCACCCGTGACAGCCGGCAGGTCCAGAGCCAGCTCCTGCCATGTGGGCTCCTTGTGCTGGGCTTGGCAGCTCCAGCTGCAGCATGGCAGCCAGGGCCACACACTGGGAAAGCAGCACACGTTCCCACTCCCCCTGGTGCAGGGCACATGGGCCCACTCACCCTCGGTGTTGTGCTCAGGATCAAACCTCTGCCCGCAGCCCTTGTTGTAGCACAGCAAAGCCATCGTCCGGGAGAACTCACGGCGTCCTTCACTCCTTCCACAGAAATCCCACCAGGCTCATCCCTGCCTGTGATCCCTCCTCTGCTTCCCCACGGTTTCCAGCCCAGGCTCCAGGAGGTGGCTTTGCCTATCTTTGGAGGCAGCCGTGGGAGGTGGCTGGTAACCGGAGAGCAGGCTAAAGATGGACAGAGCAGCTGATGGGGCTTGGCGCCTCTGTTATCTCGAAAGGCATTTCTGTCCTGGCCCGGTGCCCAGCAGAGGGAATGGGCACTGCAGGGTGGCCTGGGGTGTGCAGAGGTCCTCCCAGTGTCTGTCATCCTGCCGGCATCCCTCGTGGAGGCATCAGCACCACCCCACTCACACACACGGCTCCTCTGGACCGACTGCGCTCAGTTTCTTCAGCATTTATAGAAGCAGCTGAAAGTTTCCTGAAACAGATGGGAAGAGAATTCCTGGAGTCACAGGGCAAAATGTGTGCTGATCTCCCCCGGCCCCAAAAGGCACAACCACCTGCTAAGCAGAGGCACCAGCAGACCAAGGCTGTGTGAAGATATCCTTCGATGTGGGGTCTTCTGCAGCCCAGGTGTAACAGAGTAGTCAAGGGAAGGTTCTTGGCCAGGTGTGAGAAGTAGGACACAGTGATTTTATGGGTGATTATGGTGAGATCTATTGCTGATACAATATCTAAATATTGCCAATGCATTATCTAAATAACAGTTCTAACATCTGTTACAAAATATAGTATATACAGGAGTGGTCCCTCCTGTTGAGCTTCAGTGAGATCCCCTCGCTTTCTAAATTTCTCAGAGAAGTCTCAGTGAGGCTCCTTCCACTTAGTCTCAGATTAGGTCATAGTCTGTGTCTAAAGGATTATAATATAAGCAGGTTTGGCTAGGTCTTTAGCCTTGCAGAATTGACAATTAAAAAGCAATAAAGCACCTATGGAGGTACTTTAGGATTTTATCTCTGTATTAGACCAGATCTTAGCATTTTTCACTCACCCCTCCAAAAGTGAGTGTTCTGCATGTTCTGTGTTATCTCAAAAGGCATTTCTGCCCTGGACATACCCTGCAGGTGTCCCTGCAGGGGATAGGAGAGACAAACACCACCCAGAAGCTGCCTGTGACTTCAGGAGACCAGTTTGCCCGCTTGGCTCAGACTGCAGCAGCATTTTATACCCTTTTGCAGGCCGATGTGCACCACAGACAATCACAAGCATCTCAGATCCCCCATCTCCAGAATACATTAATTACGTGAGCATTCAAACAGTTCCTCCTGCAATACCCACTGGTGTTCTCATCTGACCTTGGGGGTGGGGGTGGGGGAAGGACACATACAAAGACCAAGACCTGACTATATTTCCTTGAGCTCATGCCAGGGATGAAAACTGTTCCCTGGAAGATCACTGTCATCACAGGAAAGCGCAAAATGTTACTTGGCACCCCTGTACCCAGGAGGGGTTTGCCCAGACTCCCTGCTCCTGTTCTGGGACCTAAGGGTTTTCCTCTACAAACAGGAAACCCTCTTGAGATCAAAGGTTTTACTTAGTTCCTATAAGCATCTAAACCAAATATTTTCTTTTTGCTGTTCCTGGTTGCAGACACAGCTGTTTCCTGGGTGCTGCCTGGACCTCCAGGAGCACACAGCACCTGGGTACCATTTCTGTTCAGGAACTAGGGTTGATATAAGTCCTTGGCACTGTCAGACAGTGCAAAGGGCAATTCCTGCAAGCAGAAGCTGCACAAAGAGTCTGTACAAGAGGGAAACTCCCAGGGTCTGCCATGGCTGATGCAACTCCAACCCTGTCTTGTGATGCTTGTTTAACCTACTTAATCCCCCTGCAGCAGTCTGAAGAATCTTCTGTCACCCCAAGGGGATCTCCAAAGTTCAGAGATGGAGTGAACTGCCATCGAAATTCTGGAGCTTACCAGGGAAATTACTCCAGACTTATTTCACACTGCCCTGCTATTTCACCTCCAGCCCCACTGGAAGGAAGGACTGTATCACTGTCACACCTCCCTATACTTGGGTGCCCTGTGTATAAACCCACATCCACCCAAAAGCTGGGAGGGAGATGTGAGGGGACTGAGGAGCTCTCACACCAGCGTGAGCTCAATGGCTTCAAGCTGATACCCTCCTCGAGGCACTGTACTGCCTCAGAACACAATAACTAACCCAACAGTCCCAAAGGTGGGTAAAAAAATGCTGCTGGCATCCAGAGGCTCTGCTGAGGAGAGAAGGGTGGCTAGGGACCCAGGGCAGAGGCCTGCAACAGGGGAATTTGCAGTGCTGGGGGCTCTAGGGTTTCAGATGTCCCTGTCCTTTCCATGAGCTGTCAGCAGGGCTGCAGCTGTCACCATCCCTGTGCCAGCGAGGATCTGGAGCTCGGGTTACCTTGCACACCTCAGAGGGAATACCAAGAGGGTGATGTGGCTCACACACATTGCAGAGATACCAGCAGGTACCTGGGGGGGCCGAGGCTGAACAGACCCCCTTGGCACCCGAGGAGCAGCAGCACAACTGCTCTGCCCCAGCTCCTCTGCTGCACTGTGGCAAATGTCTGCAGGAACAAGGTGGCTGGAAAGACAGAACCTGCTGAGAACACAGCACAGTGACAGGTGGTAAACCAAAGTGTCCACGGCTCCCAGCCCATGGGGAGGCTCCCCAGAGAGGACAGGGAGAGGAGGTGCAGCCTGGGAGGCAGACACAAGACATCCCTCATGAAACAAAGATGAGCTCCAGGGGAACTGCTCAGTTGGTCACCAGCAGACTCGAGGCTCTGCTGGAGCTGGTGCTTTAAAAATTAGGAAGAGATGAGTTTCAGGTGGCTAAGAGCAGGCTGGACTGCACACCCATCACAGAGCATCTTGTCTGAAGCTGTGGCTTTTGGCAGTGGCACTTGGGCTGTGCTGCTGAGTGTGACCTTCCTCCTGAGCAGAGCTCCAAGTAAAGCAGAAGTCACTGTATGAGTCAGCTGAGCAGGGACAATCATGACCAACACCTTTGCAACAGGTTGCAAGGAATGGGCCAGCTGAGAATTAAAAATAGAGCCTGTTTGGTTCATGTACACTTAATTTCATATATAACAGAACAAAAAGGAGGTAGAAAATAAAGAATAAATTATTTTCAAACCCAGCTTAATGTGTTTGCCCTTGAACAATCTGGGTCAGTGTAAAACAGCCCTTCACATTCCTGAGGAGAACACTGCTGAATGCCTCCAGGGAAAGAAACCCAGCTCACCCCTGACCCTTCAGTCATTCAGGATGCTCTGTGCAGCCAGGGTAGCAGGAAGGCACTGCATTTCTAAAGCACAGAGTAATTCCTCCATACAAAAGGCTGCTTAGGAGAAGGAAAATCCCTGACAAACATATTACTGCTTTGTATGCTAGCAGGCAGGATTAATGTTTTATTTATTTGGGAAATGAAAATCTTCCTCAGAAGAATATGTGCTGAGCAATTCTACATCAGAAGTTCTGCCCAGCCACTCTTCTGATAGCACTGCTGAGGAGTTAAGTACCAGCTGTTGTCCAAGAGGTCTGCACTGGTTGTGCTCAACAATTCAGAGATCAAATTTGAAAACGACCAGAAAAGTATCAGAAATGGGGACGTGGGCAATCTTCATCTCTCTGTTCAAGAACTCTGTCCTTCTGCAGCTTGGGTTATTACAGGACTATTGCCCCAACTCTCCAGTCCATTGAACAATTACACCTTCAAACTGGAACCAGCTACCCACCTGATGGTGATTTTCTCTCTGTAATTCAGTATCTTGCTCCAGAGATAATTCAGTTTCCTTGGAGCTGAGCTGCTCCTCTAGGAGCTCATTCACTCTAGTGCTCACTCTGGAAACACGTGCAATATTCCTCATCAGAAAGTGCAAATTAGTCCCCAACAGTAACCAGTCCAAAAAGAAGAGCTCAGTCTACCCCCAAGACTCAATTTTCTTGCCATTAGCCAGCATCCCTAATCAAAATCTGCTGCGTGAAATAGCCTGAACAGGCAGCAAGTGTGGGGTTTTCCATGTTTTCCTTTGCCTTAAAAGCAAGGTCACTGTGAGCTCACTTAGAACAGAGTGGCCAGGCTGTAATGAGGGAAAATGTCCTAAAAGCAGCGTTGTGCCCCTCCACTTTTTCTGCTCTTTTTGCTTACCTCTGGCATTCAAGTGACAACCAGGTACCCAAATCACGACCAAGACAAAAGAGAGAACGAATGTGGCATTTCAGCAAGGCCACAGGAAATCACATCTTCCTTTTTTCAGCCCCCACAGGTAGCTCACCGGAGTAGTTTAGCACATCCCACCACTTGTAGCTTTCTGTGATAAAGTGCAGCTGCTCCAGAGAGGCAGCGTGCCAGAAAAAAAAATTGAAATGTTTTGTCTACTGGTTTGATATGACAAAGTTATCCAGGTCCCAGCTGGATTTTTCAGATTTATCTTTGATTCTCACAAACTCAGTCACTACTGATTAAGAGGAAGCTGCAAAAAACACAAGTTGTAACTTCTGAAGTCCACAAATGATGGGGATTTAAAGCTAAGAGCAAACCATCAAGAACCAAACTGCTCCTCAGTCCTTGGTCTGGTATGAACTGATACTGCAGAACTGTGTTTTAAACAAGGTATGACAGCAAAAGGCACAGGTTTCTCTTCAGCATAGTTAAAATATTGCATCAGTCTGCAACTACACAGTAGCCACCACTCTGGACAAGCGCTCAGAGGAAAGCATTCCCTTCTGCACACTGGCTGAACCTCAGCACATCCCAACAGTGCTTGTGCACAGCCCAGCCTCTGGAGCTGCACTGGCTGCCTGACACAGGCACTGCCACCAGAACCCAAAGTGCCCCAGCAGAGGAAGGAATGGCTCTGGAGTGAGGCAGCCCTGCCTGCCCAGCTGCAAATGCTTCTGCACTAGACAGTGTGTCCCTGCCACATGCCTCTGAAAACCTTAGCAATGGTTTGCTTTACAATTTCCCTTCCTGGAACCTCAGCCACAGGTTTTCAGTCTCCTCCTTTAAAGCAAATTAAGAATAGTTACCTCTAGCATTCACACCAGAGTTTAGTTTTCTTCCTTTGCTGTCACTGGATCTTCAATTTGGATCTCTCAAACCTTGTTAGATGGGCTTTGAGCAGTGCTAAATCCCTCCCTCCCCATAATTTTACACCCCTTTCCTCCCAGGGAAAGGCAGTAATCAGACCCACCCTTATCAGGTAGTTGAACAGGACTGAGACAGCAGCAGAGTGATGCTGAATGTTTGAGCTCTGCTGTTTCCCTGAGACAGTGATTTCTCCTTTGGCTGCTCACTCACCAACCAACTGAGCAATGGGCAGGACAATGAGAGACACTGCAGACACCTGGGTGCAACTTCACAGTTTCTTCTCCTAGTATTTCACACTTTGGAATTAAATAATGTACTTACCCAGCA